ACAATTGTGATTGTAAAGGCTAACGCCATATCAATCTTGAAATAAATATCTATCTATATCTAATTCCGATCCATATAGGAACATCGAACGGGACGAGAAATGTTTCGAATGATTCGACAAGTGATGACGGCTTAAGCGAAATTGCCGTCAAACTAGTCCGAATAATTTTCATACCGTAAATAAATAAAAATTTCTTTGGTCGGGAATTTCCAGGAAAAACGTATGAATGCAGGATTTTCGATGACAATACGATGTAGTGACAAATTACATGTACACGTCGTGACTTTTTATCAACCCAGGTTTGAGATTCTGTGAAATTCTAAAGTTTGCCTAAAGTTAATTGGAGACAGGCGATGGTCAGTGGAATGGGTTTGTTAGAATAGTAGAGACGAACGCATCTGCTTGCTTCTATGGGATGATGTGGCCCCTGTCCGGTTGAAACTCTCATTTCATTTAACTTGTGGTTGTAGAATTCCCATTCCTTAAACGAGTTAGTGTGGTAATGCTTTATCCAACGTAGCGGGTAAGACCCACATGGGTGCCAGAAAACGTACATATCTACCTGGGTTTGGTCACTGAGACCTAGCACGAACAATTTAGATATCATTTGGATCAATGAAGGTGCCAGTGGGATAATAGTGGTAGCCCTTGCTTTACTGTCAATGAAAAAAATAAGGCTTGGATTTTCTCCGCAAAACGACATTTGAAACTGAATTTGGTAAAAACTTGCAGTTGAAAGCCATTGTGGAATGGCTGGAATTATGAAGAAAATTTCTTGCCTGTAACGTGGGCTTCTATTTGGGTCCGTGTAGGATGCATTGTTGCAGCTATTGTATTGTCTAGAATTGTTAAGGACAAAATTAGACATGTAGTGAATTTTTTTTAGGCCGAGAGTTGTCATCTAGGAGATTGTAAAATAGGGTGTGTTCCCAGACCGCTTGATGCACTTGGTCAAGATCAACTAGAATGTTGAATATTGAGTTTTGCGGAACCAAATTTGATGGGTTAAATTGTACTTGTAGGTTGCCACAGACGAACGCGAAATAAAGTATGTGGAGGGAAAGGTTGCCCAACATATTGCCAGTGGATCGTTTGTTGAAGTACGGGAAAATAAAGATTGTTCAATTAACCAGACCCTACACAACAGCTTTATACTTGTATCCGACTAGACACGATAAAAGTATAAGATGATATCTATAAGTAAAATGTCGTTTAAAGAGTTTACATACTTTTAAGACAGTTAGAAATTGAAGAGCTAGATCACGTTCGGATTTTGACAGAATTTGAGAATTGTTAAAAATAAATATGCATACTGGATAACAAGACGAGATCCCAATTCGGGATTTTAACTTTTTAAATGTTAATTGAGTTGTGTCATATGTAAATGACACTATTGTTTAATCTACAGGTTTTTATTTCCAGCAAAACAAATCATGTGAGCTAATGTTTTTCCCAAAATAATAGAATCGACTGATGACAGCTTTTGAGCAACCTTGCATCCAGATTCAATGTATGTATGTAGGAGGTACTGAAAAACTCTACAAAATTTGTCGTTCGTCCATTGGTCGAGAAAAGCAGAGCTATTAGCAAGTTAACCCATCCACCTACGTGTCTGGATTACGAAAATGTGCAAAGGTCGACACTTTCCCATACGACGCCGATAGAATTTTACGCCCTACTACCGCTGACCTTATAAATATATATTCGATTTCAAAATTGGATACCAAACCGACGCTCCAGAAAAGCAATAAGACTGCCGCTGTCGCAGAAAATATGTAGGTATGCGTCGACCTCTGTTGGCTTTAAGTACCCAACATGTTATCAATAAATTAAATATTTATAAAGCCTTACGACGTTAGTAAGACTAGTTTTTATAATGCATTCATAACGATGAACCCCAAGTCACGGAATCTTATTTTTCCCGCCTACATTCGTGTTCAGATCCTGTATAACATATTCAGAAAAATATTGATCAAGTATTAATCAACATTTAGACGAATGCTACCAAACCCGTAACCTTACTGGTTATGAATTGCAGCCGAAACCCCAAAATAATCCAATTGATGGATGAATGTGTAATCAACTGAACAAAACATCCTGCCCGAGTTCCTGATCATTTTTGCATAAAATATTTATCTGTGTATGTAGGCCGTGCTGAGAAACTTTATCCATTTTTTTCCTGTGATTGCCTAAGAAATGCAGAAACTTGGAAGTTTTTAGAAATTAACCCGTTAACGTATCAGACTTCTGAAACGTAAGTACATATGTATAATACATAGATTGATTACTTCGCTTAAAACACCCATTACCCACATACAACATATGTAAGTATGTATCTCGAAAATTCAATGTTCCCAAAAGCTTCAGACCGTTATACAAAACAATTTTTATAATACATACCTATAATATATATGTTACATATATGTATGTACATTATCAATAAATAAGTACGCCACTAATACACTTTTAGAAATGGGTTAATTGGGTGAACCCAATTAATTGGGTGAACCCAATTAATTGGGTGAACTTATCCACAATTCCACTCAATTTTCATGAAACTCAGATAAGCTCTCGCCCGGGGGGAGACGGGCTTATACGCTAGTATGTACTAAGGCCGGTAATGATTGGCAATGATTCGACACCAGTTGCGTAAGAATGTATGTATATATGTGTCTGTAGGTTTTTACCATAGATATGTAGTTTACACAGATCCCCGATTTCAAATCACTCCAATATTAAAAACTTGGCAAACTTATTGAGTGAAACTAAATCCTGCTCCAACTACTACGAAATAAAAATTTGGGGCAAAGTGACAACAAAGTCCATAATGCTTTATACCAAAATGATACCCAAATCGTCGTCCATGTTGAGACACTTTTTTCAGTAGCTCCACCATCTATGTCACTACATACATATGTCACTATGTATCTGTGGTTTTTACGGACCGGTATAATTTTAATACCAAGCTGGACCAACCTTAATACCGGGAAGTGTGCATATATATGTCTATGTAAATATAAATATATATATATATATCTGTGAGCATACCCGTGAAAGCGTACCGTTGGGTCGTTTTTTAATAAACAGACCGACTTGCATAGACTGCGTATAAGATGGCATCCTGCATTTAAGCGAGGGTACTCCCATCGCGCTCCAGTGGTCGTTGACAATATCGGCATTACGGTAAGGAAAACACTACGAAGAACTACATGCCTGGATCATTGTTTCTGAAGGTAAGGTGGCATTGTATGCGGGTTTTTAAGTTTGAATTGTTATTTTTCTTCGGAAAAAATCGCCATTTTCTAGACCCCCTCCCTCCCTTTACCATATTATTATGTCACATAGGGACGACATCATTTGAACCATTGGCTCCCCGTCCCCTTCTTTTGTGACATAATTTATGAATGGTCCTTAAGGCTAAAAATTACGAAAATTATAAAATTGTAAAATAAAGTGATAAAACATCAATGGCAATGTGATGTTTTTTATTGTTTATTAGTCTACGTCCACGGGATCGATGCCGCAAGAAATCGGGTTGATGCTTGGGGGGAAAGAATTTGGTGAAATGCACTAAGAAATTAATTACAATTGTTACAAAAATGGAAAAATCTCAAGCTTAATAATTCGTGTGGAGTTTGAGGGTTTATTTCTGTGTATGATTATGCATACATACATATTTCACTAGTTTAAAAATCTAATTTGACTTAAAAGTATTGGTCGTAATTCGGAAATTATTTACAATTGGTAAAAAATTAATTAATGCTGAACAATAAATTTAGCGGAAAGTATGTAGCGTTCTTGTTAAAATTAAATTGAAATAATGACGTTCTGCATAACAAAATCATAAAATTGGGGCAATTTCCATACGTACATATGCAGGTACCGTTGTAATTAATCTCTAAAGAAAGATAACTTTTGTACACTGCGTGTGTATTGAAAATCAATGAAAACCTAGTAAAACAAAATAAAATTTAATACTTAAACCCGCTATACAACCCCTGGGTTGTTATTTTTTAAATAAAACTCTGGATTTTTCCGAGCCCTGCTCTGAAGTAATGCATTTTTTGTGGATGATCATACTTCGTAAATGTGAAATATTTATTACCTCAGGAGAGCAACTTATCCCAGATTAATCAATAAAAATTGCTCTGAACTTGACTTTGGACTTTAGCATGCATACATTTACAGATATGCTCTCCATAGTTATGTAAATCAGTCACGCCACGAGAGTAAGGACATTATAGCAACCCTCGCTCATTTTCTATTTATAGATTTTATAGCGAATGCATGCAACTTTTAGCATGCAAATTTTATGCATGCATTTTTTGCATGGAGTTTTGCGATTCTGGGGGCTGACCCCCCCCAGGGGTTGCAGATAACCCCAGCGCAGTGACCGCGGCGCCGTGACCTTTGACCTGTCAAGCGTATTTATTATAATATGAGCGTTACATGGTGAGTATGTATGTCAAGATGAAAAAACCACACATTGATATTTTACTACAATGATGAAATGTGCATAATAATGGGTGTTAAGTTTCACAGTTTAATAGCTTAATTAAATGTACATGGCTTGCAAAAGCTGGTCAACATCATTTGACATTCCAAGCGAATTACGCCCAGTTTTATTCTAAAGAAATTTACTTTAAGATATTTATTATTCCACATACAATGAATTGATTATTGCTTAATTTTATTGATACACACAAAGTGACAATGAATTTGCTTATATTAATTTGTGTTGTGCTGCAGACCGTAAATTCGTATGCGGAATGTTATCGTCATGATAGTTGTGTGCAATGCATTCAAATTGTGGGTTGCGTTTATGGAGTAACAAGTTCAAGTGCTCGGAAATGTTTTCATCGTGACGAGATTCCGGTTGGAATTTTGGCAACCTTTCGAAATCCAACTGCATGTAAAAGAATTTACAGGTTTGGTACGTTCATTTTCATGTTTTCACTTTATACTGAGAACAAAGTGTTTCTTTACTGAATAAATAAGTTGTTTTTTAATTTTTAGCAAATACCCAGACGAGTGCATTTGATAACCATTCTAAAAGTGGAAACAATATCATTGTTAAAGAAGAGATAATGCACAATGTTTTAACAGGTATGCACTGCCATTTTTCGCAATTTATTCCATTATTTTAACATTTTGACATTCTTAGAGCGGGTTTCAACCTCCACCACAACTGAAAATCAATTGTATACTTCAACATTACCTACTTTCACGACTTTGCCAACGACCAAAATAGTGACGACCAATTTTTATTTGCCGGAAACCTTACACCCCACACAACCAAGTGTTGATCACGAGCAAGACAATACAGAGTCCACAACGGAGACAATAATAAACACTGCTGTCGCCGGTATTGTACACATTTTTTTTGTTACGTAATCTCGGTTTTTCATTCATAAATAAAACCATCACAGAAAAACTGGCAATCGAGACTACAATCCTACCAATGGTGGAATCAACTACGCATTTCTCTGAGATAATTCATCGGCCCACTGATCCATTCCTGTTGCTGAATACGAGCATTACAATTGGGGGTATGCACACCATAGTTAAAAAAATAACACGTAAAGTTTATTAAAATTTTATTTATAGAAACCAATAATACTGCGAATTGGAATAATGGTTCCAACCATAGTGGAAGTTTCACCTCTTCCGTCCCGACAACTACCAATTTAACGATTTCGGTATTTATTAGTGTTTATATGCAACCAATCCCAATACCGTCTAAAGCCACGAGAACAAATTCGTATGCAATTCTTATTGTGTCACTTCTTAGACTTTTCCAGTTGTAGCAGCAAGAAAACGGAAAATGTGGAGCACCTATGACAAAATTGGATTATATGCATGCAGAATTACTAAATTACTTAAGAAGAATAATTTCTTTCATGATCGAGATCTTTCTACTATTAATAATATCATATCGAGGAAATTTGATTATGTATTATGTGATTCGTTACTCAGCGGAAAGCCAATATTTTATGCCAAAAACATTTAAATATATGCAACAAGTTAATTAAGCAAATGCATTTGCAGAGTGTTGGATTTAGAGGAAGTTCTAGCAATAAATAATTATGATAATTTTATTACAATAAATGCATGAAATTTTTTCGATTTATTTTTTTATTTGCTCATTTCCATCAAATCATTTGTTTTTATTTTCAATCATCAACTTAAAATGATTATAAATCACTACTAAAATCACTACTAAATTCTACATGTATATATGAACTCTACAAATGACTCATTTCGATAAAATCACTACTAAATTACTACTTTTTTTATTTTTCGTTCGTTTACTGGCGGGGGCGTTTGTGGGGGTGGATGCTTGGACTGCTGCTTGGACTGTATGGCTTCCTGTGCCTCCTTTATTGCTTCAGACACAACTGACGAGGTCAGAGGCTGAACCGTCAGCATCTTATTCGGAGCTGAAGACAGTTGTTTTAGACACGTTGTAAGGAAGAGAGTATCCTAAAAAAACAAGCATGCTTTGCAACAAAATCGTAATTATAAGTACGAAAAAAAATTGGAAACACTTACCTTTGATGCGTCATGTAGCCTATTAACCAGGCCCATAGCATTGAGATGTTGTAATTTTTTAAATATATTCAAATTTGTCCTAAATTTGAGTTTTAACAAGTCTAATTCCTTTGCCAATTTTGTTCTTTCTTCTTGAGTATTTTCCATTTGCTTTAATTTTTCCTCCAGACTTGAGATTTCTTCTTGGTCCTTTTTTCTCTCTTCATCCAAGTACTGTAATTCTTCAGTGTGCTCTTCATCAATTGTTTCCATCTCGTCCTCAAGGTGGGCTGCTCTTCTGCATTCTGCTGCAAGAGCTTTCTCAAGAAATTCCACCTTTTTGTGGACCTCTATCCATCGGGAGTAATCCGCATTGGAGCGTCCAGACGGGTCGACGATAGAGTCGAGTTTGGATATTAATTCTTCAATGACGGACGTGAAATTCTTGATGTCTGCTTCGGCAGGCATCTGTAAAATTATTAAATAAATTATTGTTTCATATTATTTCATACTACTGATATATGTATTAGTAAAATTTCTCATGGGTAACATGTCTATTTCGCGAGTGCACGTGATAGCAAGAATTAAAATATTCGTGATTTCCTATAAACGGCGGAATATATATTCCAACATGTTTTGAGTTTTTTGGAGTAAAACTCGAAAAATTCACTGTTTTAACATAGGTCGATATAGGGAAAATTCTCAAAATTTGTGAAGATAAATATCCATAAAAATCAACTTTTCACCATCTAGTTTTCTAAAAAAATACCGAAGAAATACTCTTATTTTTGAGAAATTCTTATGCCAGGATAATTTATGAGGTACATACATATGTGTATTTTGTCCTTCATTGAAAATAATATGATCCCCATATGGGAGCGTCCATAAATCACGTGATCGATTAGAGGGGGGGAGGGGGTCTGAAATTTGTCACGAATTATCACGGGGGGGGTAGATGGTCAGATGTCACGTGACATGAGTAAAGTTTTTTGCCAATAAATGTCATGAGAGTTTATATCGTGCGTGTGGTATGATACCACACGCACGTTATATAAATTTGATTTTCATTTTGCATATTTATAAACTTGCTTCGACCTAAATTGTTATGTCTGCCTGGCGTATTAAATAGTTATTTACACATGTGTGTAATGTAGCTCTAATTTGATTAATGATTTAAAAAATATTGTTATTCCGGACATGATTTAATTTGAGCATCATCTCGTGTCACGTGACAGGTGGGGGGGGGGTAGCGAAATTATCACCACCGGTCACCAAGGGGGGGGAGGGGGTCAAAATTGTCCAAAAATCGATCACGTGATTTATGGACGCTCCCTATGGGTTTACAACGCCACCAGGTAGATAAAACTATTACACAAATATGTGCATTTCGTCCTCAACAAAAATAAAATACTACACACATGTATGTACTTCGTCCTTAAGAAGTTAATGTAATTAAAAATACATGTAAATTAATATACACACGTACCCTTTCAGATGTCGTAAGGTTAGGATCCCGGACATCAGAATTAACCGCTTGTCCTTCAGTTGCCTCCAACGGAGACTGCATGATAATCTCAATCTGATGCGGTGGGGGTGGTGCATCCTCAATCTCCTCTAGTCGCACCTGATGTAACTCCCTATTGTAAACTATGAGGGAATGTTGACCGGTGGTATTAGTCAACATTATCGCCAGATCGTTTACTGGGATGATGATACGTTCGGCTTCCATCTGTTTTCCAGGATGGAAATTATGATTAAACATTAATGACTAAAAACCAACATTGCAGATATGGCCCGAGCCAGATGTAGAATTTTTACAATTTTACATGGGATTCTTTCATGAGAAACCATTTGTAGCGTCAATGAGCTTTGTATTGAAATTTAAACAGACCATCAGACAGACACGACGGTTCCATAAGCTCCGACTCGGGGAAATAATAATATATATCACAGAAATTTGCTTACCACTTCAACTGATTCTGTTCCCATATCCAAAGGACACATGATTTGATGGGTAATTTGAACACAATGAACTTATTCTGATCAAATTGAAAGTGATCTGAATTGCGACTGGGCGATGACATTATATTTGTGGAGCCTTTTATCAACTTAGCAATGCAATGAAAGTAAGGAACAGATACATACATGCCCAAAAAGCATTTACAATTTTTTTATTTAAATTTCGGTTTCCTACTAACTGCTAACAAATAGATAACTATATTTATAACATTAGCAAGTATTACCTAAAATCCAGACTAATAAATTACTTTTTAATAAAAATACGTAACCGAATTGCTAAATATTTGTAAGTTTACAAGGATAGTCAATGAAAAACATGTAATGTGTATATGCGTACACAAGTTTATTTTCTTACAATTTTACATTTAAATTAAAGTTACTTAATTTAGATCTCATCAAGTATAAACAAATCCATACACAAATGTGAGTGTATAACTACTTTATATGTCAGACTAATAAATATCTATTTAATAAAAATATCAACTACGTTTCTTAAATTCCTTAATCGCTTTCTTCACCATTTGGCTTCGTGTCAAAATAGACTTGATATTCTTTCAGTGTTGCTAAAAATTCCTTGCACAATCCGCATCTCAGAGTTAAACTCCGTCCACATCCAGCAGACGATTGATTTTGTTTTGGCATAATCAACCGTAAACTTCTTACTCCTTCTAATGTAATAAATTGTCTTATACCAATATAGCCGGAGGGGATATAGTCCGTATGAGATTTATCCCAAAACTCGGGTTGGCGATAGTCTGTAATTTTGCCAAAAGGAGATTTTTTTAACTTTAGAGGGATTTCTGTCTGTTTCAGCGATTTAAATTCGTCATACTGCCTTTGAATAATTTTAATTAAATGAGGCAATTCCATTCCACTGACTTTCATAAATGTCGGGGTTATTTCGGGATTCATATTATTATCATTGTCTTTGCAGAAATGCACGTACCATATATAATTAAATTTATTAAAATATGGTCTCACTTTTATATCTCCAATAATCTTTGCATTGACATAGAACGATAATGTTCTGTAATCTTCATCGTATTCAGATGAAATATAGGATTTTTTCTTCTGCTCACTCGTGCGCTGTTTCTTTACAGATTTTGCAATATCGTTAAAAGTGATACGCTTTGTAACTACCTCCTCTTCATCCGTAGTCTCATCGGATGAAATAATTACTCTTCGTTTGAGCTGTTTTCTTGCCAACTTTTTATCAATTACTCCTGGAGAATGTGTAACTTCACTTTCCTCTTCCTCAGGATTCTGCTCAGGAATTTCTTCACTATTCTCCACTTCACTAAAAGCTTGAGAATCTTGCATTTTGCTTTTAAAATTTACAATTTTATTTTTAAAATATTGTGTAAGGTCGATCTCCTGCTTCAAAATTGGTTGCCCTTTATTCTTTTTTATCATTGCACTGAATGCCAATTCTCGCCTTATATATCCAGTTTTCCTGGATTTTATACTGGACACACCCCTTTAAATTATTTATGTTAAATCAAGTTTGCGAATGTTATTTTTAGATTCAAATCTTTCTCTGCTCACATCCTCAGACAAATTTATTTGGGTGTGGTTTATGTAAGCATGGGTGATAGAGTTTTTATACATGAAAAACGTCACATTCCAGACAAATTAATTTGGGTGTGGTTCACGTAAGCAGACGTGATAGTATTTTTATACATGAACAACGTCACATTCCCAGACAAATTTATTTGGGTGTGGTTTACGTAAGAAAAGATGCTATTTTTATGCTATTCTGTTCCGCAGTTCCCATTGTGGTTTATATAATCAGACTTGCTACTTTTATATAAGAATTAGAAACAAAACATGCACATACAAATCTAGTTGAGTGTGATACACTACACTGCATTATTTTCGTACGCATTGGCCCAATATAAAGTGACTCGATAAAAAGTGAAAGTGCAATCATGGCCAGTTTGTTGCGTCATACAATTTGTCCCTCTGAAATCCTACAGCAATATTCAATTTCTCAGCTCCAGCAATTTTTTAAGAATAAGCAATCCGAGCAATTTGTGTTTGAAAAAGTTCATCCCGATTTTACTCCGAATGAGGAGCAACAACAAGTTTTAAAATATATTGATGTATCACTGTCAAATAATGTTTTAATTAGGACATACCTTACAGGATTAAGTGGCAGTGGAAAAACTGAGACAATCAAAAGCATAGTCAAAATATTCAGAAATCATAATATCACCCCCTTATTCTGCTCAGCGTTTGGCAAAATATCATCCGAGATTGGCGGACAAACAATACATTCACTCCTTCCAATCGGTTATTATAAAAATTCCAATTATGCAAAACTTGCAAAGAAAATTAAGAGAAGTCCACAGCTTGTAAATAATTTTAAAAAGTATTCAGCTATTATTATTGATGAAATAAGTTGTTGTAATGCCTCCGTATTTCACTACCTAAATCTTGTTTTACAGGTTGCAAAACTTTGCAAAACAAGCTTTGGTGGTTTGCATGTGGTGGTGAGCGGCGACATTCTTCAATTGAATTGTGTTTGTGCCACGTCACTAACGTCTCATTCAAAAAACGTGCCCCCTTTTGCTAAAGAAGGAATAAAATTATTTCGCACATTTCATCCCGTATTTGTCCTTCAAGTCAACCAGAGGCAGAATGGAGATGAAGCCTTTCAAGAATTGTTGATGCGATTGAGGCGAAAAGAAGTTACACAAGCCGACGTTGATTTATTAAATTCTCGCAGAGAATCGGTTTTGTCTAATGAGGAATTGACAAGATTTGATAAAGGATTATTCATCTTCCCCAGGAATATTTTCACAAGGTTAAAAAACCAGGCATCGTTGAAGCAGTTGGGAAATCCTATTATTAGCTTGAGACATTTTCCTGAAGAGCCAAAACTTGAAGATTATGATTGTGACGAAATTTCTATCGGATGTAGAGTAAAAGTGAAACGAAATTTTGACGTTGCAAACCGACTAGTGTCTGGAAGTGTAGGTACTGTTGAAGGCATAATATATGACCCTGACCTCCCTGACCTCCCATTACCAAGCGTTATTCTACTATCTGTCCCCAGGTATCGTGGAAATACAATTAATGGCCTTATTCCTATACCTCTGTTGAAACAATATGTAAAGGATTACGCAACCAATGAGTGTGTAAAAATTAATTATTTTCCCTTGACCCTAAATTATGCGTCATCCGTCCACTCATCGCAGGGAGTTACATTACCATGCTGTTCTGTACTTTTGGATGATGATTAAATGTGCTCAGGGATTAGTTATGTCGCCTTATCAAGAGTTCGTGCCTTATCCGACTTGATATTGGATAAAGAGGTCAGCTTAAAGCGATTTCAAAGTCGAAAGTTTTTTCAGGGGTTTGGAAATATTTTGAAAGAATACAAGAGGCTGAACATTACACATTTAATTTTTGGACCCAAGCCATTACAAAACCATTACTACTCGAGGGATTTTGACGATGAGTCAGAAAAAATTGCCTGATCCATTCAGGCCAATTATAAGAATTTATCGGAACCCATACATAAAAAGCTCTTGCAATTTGCTACGGAAATTCGAATGTCCAATTCCATCCTGTCACAAATTCTTTTACAGACATGCGAGTTTTCAAAATCATGCAGAGTTAAACCACTGTTGCATGATATATTATAAAACGTATGTATATCCACGTTTTCACAAATGTCCTGGTAGTAAAATTGAACATGGAGCTCCTGTAATTAAAGACCTGGAAACTGGTAAATTTGAACTCGTTGAATCAGCCTATGGAGGTGTAGCCATGTTATTCAAGCAGATTTTAGATAAACCATTGGCAAGTATTTCGGACACGTTGGATTATATATATGATGATCTTGAAAATATACTTTCATATTGCATTTACATGCAATATGAAAAGCAGTCTATTAAAGCAGTCTTAGCTGCGATTTACGTTAACGTGACGCTGCAAGATAGTAAAGGCAACGATAAGACTTTAAATATTTTGAGTCCGTTTCAGATGTTTGGTCATACAGATTTAATCCTATCCAGAATTCTGGCTGCTGGTGATTACTTGACAACTTCGTTAAGCCTTTATGGGGCAGACGGAAGTGGGTGGAAATTACATAGTATAAATCACGTAAACCTAAAAATTGGAAAATATACAATATTCAGTGCGAGAGGATGGATTCAGCATCCAAAAGAGCTGGGAAAGAAAATTATAAGTATTCACACAAAAGGAAAAGAAAACTGTTTTCAACTTTCTTTACTTTGTGCTCTGAAACGTCATTTAATAATTCCTCCTAAATTACAAATGATTATGCGACAACCTGGACGAGTACTGAATAAAAATCAAAAGCTTCAACTCTGACGCTATTGGGAAAAGCCGAAATCATATGAAGCTATTTTATCCAAAAATGAGAAAACAGGCGAGATCAACTTTTCAGGAATGGAGGGGGCTACCGCAGTTAGTCAAATGGATGCATTTGAAGCTGAGAACCCTCTATATTCTGTGACTGTATTTGGTTATGAAGAAAAATTATTTGTTATACGACCGGCGCCGAAAATCCGCCCAAATCATGTGGACCTTTTGCTTTTGAGATTAGCCAAACCAGGATGCGTATATTTAAAGAAAGATGACGTGGAGTATGATTATCACTATTGCACAATCGTTATCAAAATTTGTAGGAAAGAGGGGTTATCGAAGAACTGAAGTTTGTGAATATTGTTTTGGAATTTATAAGACATCAATGGCCAGCATAGCCAAAAATGTGCCATTGCGCATCGCAACCAAAATCAATCTAAACAAATCAAATTTCCAGAAGACGACGAGTACGTGTTTAAGAAATTAAGAATGATAGAAGATATTCCAATAAAAATTTTTTTCAAATTCTTGTGGTACAACGAAAATGATCTTCCAAATGTGTCTACTTCTAACCAAAATTTGAAATTTACCACACCTGTTTCAAACATTAAAATCAAAGCATATTTTCTTTGCGTTATCAATCAGTTTAATCAGTTAGACGACACGCTACTGTATGATGGGATAAACCCTGTTGAGCATTTTATACAAAAAGTAATTGATTTAAAATCTTACTAGAAGGATTATCTAAA